TTTATATATTTACGCGATCTAACCCAAAAACCTCTATTATGGATGATATTGGTCGCGAAAGCCTACGTGCTAAACTGAAATGCATGTAGGTTGAACTTCTTTCGCACCATACTAAGCCAACCGTGCGAATCGGGGGTGCGAAATGGGTCTTATTCAGGCACGTTGGCATACAGTTGTTTTAAGTCTACGATTTAGCTTTCCAGAAACGAGCTAACCTACTCTCCTGGTCCATCATTTAACTCGGTCTATGAACTAACCAGCCACAATGCACCCATATACTCGCCACATTTTGGAAGCGAAGCAAGCGTTGAGCCTGGATGGAGCTTGGATGTGCAACCACGGTGCGCACGGTATTTTGTTTACAGGTCACGCTGTTGCATGGTGGGGAGTGGAGCAAAATGCATTGTTGTAAGGGCTTCCACGCTCTCCCGCCATGACCGAACCCTACTCACTCGGGCGGTGCAGTTTGCTCAAATAATCCCCCACCACACGATCCGCACGGTGTGGGGAGGCGCTCATCCAGCAGTGGATTGACGTCTTTTTGGTCGTATATCATGAGGGCTGGGCACAGCCCCCAAGGCCTCTCAACGCCCATCGACGACGATGGGAAGAGGAATTCCACAGCGGAGCTGCGCGAGGGAAGAAGCAGAAGGTTCGGTGAGCTGAGCTTTCCTGTGGCGAGTGAGTATGTGAGTGGGTGAGCGAGTGAGTGAGTGTCCGAGTGAGTCGGGGATTGAGCGGGTGTTGTTGTGATGTGTAAGTGTGGTGGTGGTTCAACTGTGTGTGGATGAGACGACACAGTCTGGTAGAACAAGAGTCCTCAACACGGATGGAGCAATCATCGAGGGAAGTTCACGGGAACAGTAACCATGGTAGTAGCAGTAGCGATGGAAGAGTGATAAGGAGGTGACTGACCGCCGCTGAGCGAGAGCGAGCGACTGGAGTGAATCGGTGAGTGCTGGATATATAAACCGTAACGACTTTGCATTTAATTCCATGGAGTACAGTGTGGTAGGAACTGGCTGCTCCACTCCAGATATGGTAATAGGATTCCAACTTTGGCCGGATCTGTGCTGTGTGCAGCAGTGGCGAAAATTGTTCGGAGTTGCAGGAGACTCTAGCACGGGAAATCGAGCATCCTCGACGCCTCCTTAGCCAGACGAGTAACAAAACTGTTCTATGACAGCTCCGATGAGGTTGTTGTGCCATGCAGAGTTTCCTCGGGCTGCGAATATAATAATTTTTTAATGAGGTGGGTGACGTGGTCGAGCTGTAGCGCTTGTTGTTGCAGAGGTCCACGGTTCGATTCCAGCGGACGCCCTGATTAATAATGCGGTCCGTGTAATAACCGTTAAAATACTGCGCGCCGCCAGTTTGGTAAGTGGACTTTAAAGATCCCAGTGACGGGATTCGCAAAAGTAGTCCATCGCCTGCCGGCGTCATGATCCGAATTTGCCAAAGAAAACATATTACGCCACAAGTTACTCGATTGGGATTATACATACACAGCAGCAAGCATCGCTCCGTACTGCGAACATTTGGCACGGCCCTCCTAAAAAAAAGTCTCGAGGCTTTCCTCGGTAAACCCGCGTAATGGCGATAATTGTTACATTTGACGTGGGGATTTATTTATTTATTTCGTCGAACGTCACCCAGGATCAACAACAACCGCCATTCGCCACTAAGTGCCAGGCTATGTGCACGTTAAGGCCACGTGAAAGTGTCGAACGCCCGCTGGCAGGAGGTCACGGGGCAGACCCAGGTGCCACGGGTCGACAGACTCAGATGACTGAGATGACTGGCTGACGCACCACCTGTGCCCCCCCTACTGTGCCAACTTGCTGTGTTTTAGCCGCCCGGCGCTCCGCTAATTGTTGTGAGCGTCGCTCCTCTGCCCTCCATTATTGCTGGAGGGCGACTGCCTCCAACTGCCCAGTAGCATCCTTCACGAGCCTCCTCCACAGAGGCCGATCTTGACACCGCTGGTACCAGTCATCGGCAAGTCCACTCAGCTCCACATCCTCCTGTACCACATCACTCCATCTCTTCTCTAGCCCGTGCCGCGACCGTTTAGCCTCTATCCAACCGAACAAAAGCTGGTTTGGCATGCGGTGACTGGGCATGCGGGCTTCATGTCCCACCCAGGCTCGACCACTTGTACACGCACGTGCTTCACGTTTAAATGCCACGTGACGTTTTTTAATCGATGTGGGTTTGTTTATTACGTTGAATGCCACCAGGATCGACCACGTGTACACTCCGCGTTAAATGTCGCGGGAGTTGGGGGGGTCGCAGGGGGGGTCACGGGAGGGGGTCACGGGGGGGGTCACGGGGGGGGGTCACGGGGGGGGGGGGTGCCGCTCGTACTCCGACGCTTGCCGCCCACGTCATCTGCTGCCACGGGCACGTGCGGCACGGCACTGCGTGTGTGAACCCATTCGACCTGCAGAACCAGTCCCGCGGGGTCGCTGGGGTGCATAACTCAACGGCGGTCGCCCGCTTGTACAAATGCAAGCGCGCATTCAGTTTTTTTTGTTTAAAGAACAAAAAAAAACATGTACATTATACGCGAGGAAGAAAACTCGTCAAGACGCGCTGATTTCGGAACGCCGTCCGTTATCCCGCGTTCGAGGAATTTATCGCTTCGGACCGCGTGCCTCGCCCTCGCAAGAAGGAATGTTCCCCACAATGCAATGTTCCGGCAACATTTTTTGTTTACAAGTTCATGAGCAATACTCGTTTCATTATACAAATTATTGAAGGGGTTGCCTTATGTTACTCAATAGCTACTATCGGTGCAACTATTCAAATTTGAATGGCTGGTCATCAGAAAACATTTTAAGTAAAACTATATATATAAAAACTGATCAGGCCCCCATGATATGAACTAAACGTTTTATTTCGTTTTACCAGGCAAGGCCTACTGAGCTATGTAGCTCTTTTTCAGAAGCGACCTGGCCACAAATGATAGCTCAACAAAGTGGCTTATCATGTGGAAATGTATAGCAGCCAAAGTGTGTAAACGCCTGATTCTCAACGTGAAAGGAAAAACCGGAGGTCCCGGAGAAAAATCCACACGACCACGGGGAAAGAGACCATGCAAACTCCAAATATGCAGGCGTCAGGGTCCATAACATGTTGAAAGTACAGTCTCCAACTCTTATCATCCATTCTGTCTCTCTATATGCTATGAACAAGGGCCATTGCCCGAAACATCATGCTTTTAAGGCCACGGTGTTATCGAAGAACGTGCCGAGCTTGTGTGTGTTTCTTGTGCACCAATGCCAACGCAGCAGCGTCACCGAATAATCATTTGTTCAGTTTGGGAAGTATTTACTCGGCTACACGGAAGCCCACACACAAGGCGAACCCAGGGCAAAGTGCGTTTGCGTACACGCCACTTAAATCAACTTAGCTCCAGGTTTTGTCTACACGTGTTTTGTCAAGCCTTTAATTTGTCCCGATCTCCAACAGGGAGAGTCCCGAATCGCAACTTAGCTCTAAAGTTTCGTTCGTATTTGCTCATCTTCACGAGAGTTACCACCCCCCCCCCCCCACCTCTTCTACTAAATACACTGTGTAACAAAAGCAAAGTTTGTGGGGAATAATAGGAATTTTCTATACTTTTGAGGCATAAGCAATTAGAAAATAACACTGACTACCCAGGAACAAAAATCGTGTTACATAGTGATATCAAACTCGCACACACATATCCCCCCATTACATAATTTTATTTTTTTCAATGAATACGATTTACAAAAAAATCAGTCACCAGAATTTTTCTGTAGAGGATTGTAAGTGCCCCCCCCCCAACCCCCGAAGTGAGAACTGCCCCGTGCTAATGGTGGTATTTCCACATTTCTATGGCAGGAAAAGACTCGTTTCGATAAGACAGCAAAGAAATGCATTCAACACGCAAAACATTGGTCAACTCAATTTAATTTTGAGACAGACAATTAAATAAGTAAATAACGAACACATCACAGCTCATGTCACACGGCTCCATGAACCTATTAATGTGAACACTTTCACAATGTACACTTCTTGGTGGGGTGGAGTGGTGGCGTGGTGGTTAGTGCATTCTGCTGCTCTACGAACGCAGCGACCCTTTGAGTTTTAGTAATAGGTTTTACCCTTTTAACTGGCACAAAAACTGACACCTTTATTCAAGGCATCATGTTTGCAATAACCACAACACAAGCAGTCAAAATGCAAACAAAAGAGACAACTCTGATCATAATAATATGCACTGTCCTTGAATTTGATTGGTCCACACCCGAGACGGCTTTTCTTAGAGCCTAGTCTCCACTGGTGCTGGACCCGCCACGGCTGGCACCCGCCGGTGGCGAGTGAATTATCAGTTCAAGATCATCGCTCGCCGCCAAAATAGCGCCGTGGCCGGAAGCAAAAGTTCACTGGGTTCGTAACGCAGTGAACGCGATAACCACTGCTTGCGCCACCGCTCCACTCATTCGCGTACCATTTGTATATAAGGAATGATTATATTGTATAGATTTTATACTGCAAAGGGGATGCTAGTCTATGACTAAACTAGCGCACGTGCTGCCCCCGATCTCATCCCATCTCGGAATCTATGGAGGCTTGGACATTGTTTGGATGGGCGACCACCATGCGTAACAGGTGTTATAGGCTGTATCGTTGATTAACCTTGTACGTGGAAGTTGGATGGTGAGGGGGGCTAAGCGACCAGCCTTAGAAAGGGGACGAGGTGTCCCTTTCTGTGCTCTCTTGACGCTGGTTGGCGAGGGGATCATAGAGTTTGCTTTTGCGCCACGGTGACTAGGAGATGTTAAATACCTCGCCTGGTATGCAGGAGGTCGTGGGTTCGTTCCCGACCCTGACACCTGCTGCTGTATATTTGGAGTTTGCGTCTCTCTCATCGTGGTCGTGTGGAGTTTTCTCCGGGTTCTCCGGTTTTTCCTCCAAATTTAGAAAAATGCGTTTAGATTGTTTGGCTGCTATACATTTCCACCTGGTAAGCCACTTTGCTGAGCTACCATTTGTAGCTGGTCGCTTCTGAAAAATAGCTATACAGCGGCTCAGTGGGCCTTACGTGGTAAAATACAGAAAAAGTTTAGTTTTCATTGTGCTTGTGCACCACTGGCAACAGCATCGCCGGGTAAGCTGCCCGGCATTACCGAGCAGAAATTCCCAGCGGCACGCGATCAACGACTCCCACACAACGGGTCACGCTACAATGCAGGGCTGTCACGGTGGTGGTTTCGCGGTCGGAACTTCACGAGGAGGGTCTCTCCATGAAGTCCCTTCCCAGGTTGGGTCTCGTTTCACGGTGGAGGGGTTCAACCGCACCTGATCGTCCGTCCGTCCGTCCGCACCCTGGGTCTGTGGTGCCACATTCACCCCCTCACTGGTCGAGCAGCATCTCCTTGAGCTTGTCGGCCTTGGCGCGCCGCAAGTGGATGAGCGAGCGTCGGGCGAGGAAGCTCTCGACGAAGTCGTCCAGCGGCAGCTCGCCCGCCAGGAAGCTCTCGGCCACGGCCTGCGGAGACACCGGGCGCGCGCGCCCAGCCGGCCAGATGAAAATAAAAAAATTAGGGATGAGCTCCCAATTTTCAGATTTCAAGTATCAAGCATTGGATAACCATCGAGCAAAGACGGTCACTGCATCGCACACTTTCAGATGCGCTTCTGCAGCCATCTGGAACGCTCTTCCTTCCGATATTAGGAAGCCACTGTTCTAAAAAAAATTGTTTTCATCTGGACTGAAAACTAATTTCTTTAGAACAGATTTTTGTGTTTAGTTTGTTGTCCTTCCCCCGCATCTCCAAATAGCACGGTTGGCTACACACGGTACGAAGGAAGTTTAACATACTTTGGTCTGCCGGTAGGGGGTGATGATTGCTGCTGTGTGTGTGTGTGAATGCAATCGAGTAAGGTGCGGTGTCCAATTTAGCAAAATTTGCACCGTCGATTTATCCGGAAATTACAATTTCTGATGATCTGAAAATTGGCGTCCCGTTTGCATTGAGCCAAAAAAAAAAAACGAAGTGACATCACCGGCAAAACAATAGCAGCGAAGATTATTTTTATTTTAGTAAAGCAACAAATTGCGCTTGGTAATTATATCGTGCGCTCGTGAAGCCGAAATCTGTCAGTGACGGTGATTGGTGACAAGGTCCAGGAATTCACAGCCACTCCACTGCCCCGCCGCATCGCTGTAACCCAGCCTGGGACTGACGCTAACTCCGGAGAGAGCGTGGATGATATTTAAATTCGATGCCAAGAACGCTCGGGCGTAAGAGCCAGAGCTCGGAGCGGATCACGTGAGACAGGCTCAGCGCGGTCATAAGCATCATTTATAAAAGGCACGAGGCAAAGGAGTCGCCTTGTAATCGCTCGGCTGCTCGCGACACACTGCTGCCTATTGGTTGACCACTCGAGGATGTTTGGCCTACTCTTCCGCGCCGGCCGGACGTCTTGAAAGAGGTGGCAGTACCCACACTTAGGCCCCATCACAGACGGATGTCAACCCGCTTGCTGTTCTGCCACCGTACGCACGCTGGAAAGCCAGGAGGTGGCGTGACACCACGTGGAGGGATGGAGCTGCACGAAGGGTGGTCTGCGTGATCCGCCAACCCTCGTTGCCACCACAGCTCCCACCGCCACTCCCACCGCCAGTCTCATAAACGCACGACTCTAGTTTGACCGCATTCTTTTGGCAGAGGTCGCTGGTCCGACGCAATCTTCCGTCGTGAATACCTGGCAGGACCCTCTTTAGACGAGTGTCACGAGACTCGGCGAGGCCTTCCCTGGGCGAACGAGCGCAAATAAAACGATGATGATAATAAGAATGAAAACACGAGCGAATTTTTTCATTTTTTATCAGCACCAAGGGTGTTTGTGGGTAAAGGAGCTTTGCGCTAAGACGCGGCTAATCCGCTATTAGGCCCGGATAGCGACCGGGCCAGACAGACGCTCTCCTTGAATAAATCCAGTCCCCCCGTGTGCCCTCGCCCCCCCTCCCACCACACCAGAATCGCCAATTGCTCACTAACCGCACCCCCGCCCCATCTCAATCCTATGCCAGTGTGTAGCACAATAACCACGGGGGGCGGGGAGGGTAGCAGATGGTGGTTGAGGCTGGGGGTGCACCGTACGCAGCCTGGTTCACTTAGGAGGGGAGAGGGGAGGAGAGGGGAGGGGGGGCGAGGGGAGGGGGGAGAGAAGGGGAAGAGAGAGCAGATGGGAGAGGAGAGGGGAGGAGAGGAGACGGAAAGAAGGGGAAGAGAGGATAGGGAGGGGAGGAGGTAGCAGAGATGGAGGAGAGAGTAAAGGAGAGGGCAGAGAGAGAGAGGAGAGGAGGGGGGCGGAGTGGGGAAGGGGGAGCGTGGTGGTGGTGGCTGGATGGCCGTGCCGCCCTCCTCACTGCCGGCGCCTGCTCTCCGGGTGATGCAGGCCGTCAACAGCCCGTCGGCGCATGGCAGGCACAGCGCCATTCAGGGGCGATCCCTAGCTGGCAACGGGGCAAACAGCACAGTTGTCGCTCGCTCCCGAAGAGAGGGAGCAGCACGACGACTCGGAGACACGAGGAGGAGGAGGAATCGCAGATGGGAGGAGAAGACAGCCGCTAGTCCATACCAACAATTGCCCAAGCTCTGCAGTTCTTTATATATTAATCTAATTTATATATAGAGTGCCTTCACACAAGAAGCTTGGCACAGCTTACAGAACGGTGACAGAATGGAATGATGTAGTTAATAGGGGCGTGAGAGGATTGAGAAACGAGTGACAGTAATAGAGGGTTGTGAGGGATCACGAAAGGTTAGGGGAGGAACGGGAAGGAGTGGAGGGACGAGTATTTACATCTTCCCCGAGCTGTGTGTCCCCTCATCTCTCTCTCTCTCCGTGTTCTCGTCTCTCGATCGCCAATCACTCACCTCGGCCTCCTCCTCAGCCTTGGCTGTTTCCGCTTGAAGCAGCGCGAGCAGCGTTTCCGGGCAGCAGCTGCCGTCAAAACTCTCGGCTGTGATGAGAGGGCGGTGGGGGGGGGGTAGGGGAGAGTGGGCGGGGGGGGGGAGAGGGCAGAGTGCAGCAGAGAGGAGGCCCGAGGGTGGGTGGAAGATTGGGCAGGGTGGCACAAAAAGGGATTCTTGAATCTTCAATAGAATTGTCAACTTGATGATCACACCAACGTGAGTGCAGAACTTGGTGCAGTAATTGGCGACCGGCCTGACAGCATCGTCTCACTGCACTCGAGAAATCGGTATAATCACAATTTCGCGCGTGTGTCCGTGTGTGTGCGCGTTGATGTGTGTGCGATACTTCACTGGTGAACTCAAAGTGCACCTAGCACTTGGCACAAGCGCAGCGGTGGCATCACCGCCACCGAGTGGCCGCTGTTGTTTTTGTTGTTACTGTAAATGGGCAGTGGTGCACAAGCACAGACTACAACTAAAAACATTCACGAATAATAACACAGTTGCCCTAATAAGTAAAAACGCATACAACAGGCAATAATGCCATGAAGGGCCATTGCCCGAAACGTTGCCTGTTATATCTATATACACTGTACATTTTTAAGTATTGTTTACTTTTAGGGCCACGGTGGTTATTTATGGTGTCATCATGGGCAGCCGTGAGCGTTCAATCAGCGCTGCGGGCCGGGCTGGTTAGCTTAAGGCGGTCGAGGTTTTGGTAGAGTGGGCGGGCGGGTGGATGGGTGGGTGGGTGGATGGATGGGTGAGGCAGCGGGTCAACCTGGGCCGTTAACCTCCGAGGAAACCCCATCAGGTGGATGATTCAATCGTCCCCGTTAGCGCAAACCGGGTGATTGATGGGTGTCCCTCTGGGACTCACGTTAGGCCCAGGCCGCACGCGAGGTTTCGCAATCTCTTCCAATCACCGCGGCGAAATCGGGCATCTTCACCCCCCAGCTACCCCCTTACCTCCCCCCCCCCCCCGGCACCTCAAACCCCCCCAACTCCTCCCCCTCACCTACTCTCACACAGATCGCCTTCCCTCCAGCATCTAGTCCAGGGGTCGGCAAACCAGCGGATCCGGAGCCGAATGCGGCTCTTTTAAGGACCCGCTTCATGACGTTATTCACGTTGCACTGTGGCTCCTGAAATGTTTTTTTTTTACCGAATTTGAAAAAATTGGCTCTCATTCTTATTTTGTTTGCAGACCCGTGTCCAAGCCAATAGCTTCGTCGGGATCACACGTAATTCGCAACACTTCCTGGAATCATAACAATCATCATCAGGCACGGTCTATCCACTGCTGGATGACGGCCTCTTCCAAGCCGTCGCCACCGCTCCATCTCCGCGTTCCCCACGTACCCTTTGGCTGCCACTCCGTAGCCAGTCTCGACCAAGTGGCCTTCATTCTCCAAACTCGCTTCGATTTTCCCAACAGTCAATTCTGACGATGTCTCTGAACGTGCGTATCATTACATTTATTTGGGGATGTTGCTGATGCTGCTGCTGCGTTGGCAGCGGTGCACAAGCATAGGCCAACAAAATGAAAACTAATTTCAGAGCATGGAGAGATTATCAGATTGACCGGCGTGATCGGAACACATTTCAAGTATGTATTGCTGTGCCCGGCATGCCACATCCGGTATCACCTCTCGCTGTACGGCTGTGGCTACTCTTGGGAAAATCCGTGAATGTCGGCCAACGTCATGCAGAGTGGAGCGTGGTGATTATGCAGCAGTCTCTCTTGGCATCCACTCAACCACCCAGGCTGAACAATGACAAAGAACCCCCCTATAGCCTAAAGGGACGGTTTGGGCAAGTGCTGTATGCGAGGATGTATTAAGGCCAGCACAGCGCACGAGCAGGTGGGTGTGGCTAACACCACGCCTGGCCGCCTTTGTCTCCCCAGTGCTGATGTTTACACACAAAGTTCACTTAGGAGAGGCACAACACCGGTTCAGATGACATTCGCCACCGATATTTGCCACGAGAGGGAACCGAACTCGGGTAGCTGGGTTCGTAGCGCAGCGCGCTAACCACTGCGCCGCCGCTCCTCCTAATGACATACACAAAGACCCTCAGGCTCGCACACGGGCCCGGTTGCGTAACTGCGGTTGACCCCAGGCGATGGAAACGCGAGACTCGGGCACACGTGGCAAAACGTGCGAGTGTGGCGCGGGGAGGTGATGTTCGTACACAGCCCTCACGTGCCTCCACGTGGCTCAACCCACTCCCCCCAGTAGCTCCACCCGCTTTTTCTTTGGGGCCCCAACCCACTCGCTCCAGTGGCTCCATCGAATTTCCCCAGGGGCGCCAGTCCATGTTCCTATGGCGCCACCCATTCGATGTAGCTCCACCCCATCCCCATGTGGCTCCTCCCACTCTCCCAATGGCTCCACCCATTCAATGTGGCCCCACCCCGTTTCCATGTGGCTCCACCCACTCAATCAGCCGCTCCACCCATTCAATGTGGGTCCACCCAGTCTCTCTGTGGCTCCACCCACTCCATCAGTGGTGCCACCCAATTGGGCTCCACCGCGTCTCCCTGTAGCTCCACCCACTTTCCCCGTGGCCACACCCATTCAATGTTACTCACCACCTTTTTATAGCTAGCCCCCCCACACTTCAGTCAATGGGCAGCGTCCGCTCGCTCACACCTCCCAGCCTCCTCCCCCCCAACAACCCCCTCCCTAGCCAATCAGCAGCGGCCCCTGTGACACACCCACGAAACGGCAGCTGGCCACAGCATTGGCTCTCAGCCGACGCGCGTGACTCACGCCACTGCGGTCGAGACGGAACACGAGAACACGTGGACATGCGCGCACAAAGACAAAAATCCCCCGTATAGCCTTGACAGACTCATGGGGCAAGTGCTGTTCGCGAGCACCTACGAAAGGCCGGAACGGCACACCGGTGGGTGGGTGGCCAGCACCACACACCCGGCCGCCTTTGTTTCCCCAGTGGCGAAGTTTACACAACGCACCAGGTAATCATTCGAGGCTGAGTCGACCTAGGGGAGGTCCAGGCCTGGTTCAGATAATCGTCGCGGTGTTGGCCGTTAGGGGTCATCGACCTCAGGTCGCCGGGTTTGTAGCGCAGCGTCATGCGTGCACGCGGACATGTGAACATGCACACGAACATGTGAACATACACACGAACATGTGAACATGCACACGAACATGTGAACATGCACACGAACATGTGAACATGCACACGAACATGTGAACATGCACATGCAACCCCTTTTGTAAACCCACTGATGCATGAGGGATGTATGCGGAGTCGTGGGGAGCTATTTGAGCATACTTCACCACGCTGATGCAACAGCACCACAATCATAAACACCCTTACCACGATTATTATCAACACCCTCACCACGATGTTACCTTCACCATGAGCTCCACCCTCACCACAACCAGCACCAACATTTATCACCACCACCACCACTCTGACCCCAAGGCAATGGGGCATACTTTTGCCCCAAACCTCTCTCTAAAAACAGTGACACAGATCACCCGAGAGCCCGGTCTCATTACAACTCCATACAGGGACGCCTCTACTTACGAACATTCGACTTACGAACTTTCAGAGACACGAACAAACCTGTCCGCATGTCCAGTTGCCTGTTTGGACCGAGAGTCGTAAGTTCAATCACCGCGCAATATACGGCGGTGGTGGCACCTACATCTGCAGAACGTGCAGCACCAGTGGCATCTACAGTGAGGGAAAACAAAGTATTTGATCCCCTGCTGATTTTGTACGTTTGCCCACTGACAAAGAAATGATCAGTCTATAATTTTAATGGTAGGTTTATTTAAACAGTGAGAGACAGAATAACAACAAGAAAATCCAGAAAAAACGCATGTCAAAAATGTTATAAATTGATTTGCATTTTAATGAGGGAAATAAGTATTTGACCCCCTCTCAATCAGAAAGATTTCTGGTTCCCAGGTGTCTTTTATACAGGTAACGAGCTGAGATTAGGAGCACACTCTTAAAGGGAGTGCTCCTAATCTCAGCTTGTTACCTGTATAAAAGACACCTGTCCACAGAAGCAATCAATCAATCAGATTCCAAACTCTCCACCATGGCCAAGACCAAAGAGCTCTCCAAGGATGTCAGGGACAAGATTGTAGACCTACACAAGGCTGGAATGGGCTACAAGACCATTGCCAAGCAGCTTGGTGAGAAGGTGACAACAGTTGGTGCGATTATTCGCAAATGGAAGAAACACAAAAGAACTGTCAATCTCCCTCGGCCTGGGGCTCCATGCAAGATCTCACCTCGTGGAGTTGCAATGATCATGAGAACGGTGAGGAATCAGCCCAGAACTACACGGGAGGATCTTGTCAATGATCTCAAGGCAGCTGGGACCATAGTCACCAAGAAAACAATTGGTAACACACTACACCGTGAAGGACTGAAATCCTGCAGCGCATGCAAGGTCCCCCTGCTCAAGAAAGCACATATACATGCCCGTCTGAAGTTTGCCAATGAACATCTGATGATTCAGAGGACAACTGGGTGAAAGTCTTGTGGTCAGATGAGACCAAAATGGAGCTCTTTGGTATCAACTCAACTCGCCGTCTTTGGAAGAGGAGGAATGCTGCCTATGACCCCAAGAACACCATCCCCACCGTCAAACATGGAGGTGGAAACATTATGCTTTGGGGGTGTTTTTCTGCTAAGGGGACAGGACAACTTCACCGCATCAAAGGGACGATGGACGGGGCCATGTACCGTCAAATCTTGGGTGAGAATCTCCTTCCCTCAGCCAGGGCATTGAAAATGGGTTGTGGATGGGTATTCCAGCATGCCAATGACCCAAAACACACGGCCAAGGCAACAAAGAAGTGGCTCAAGAAGAAGCACATTAAGGTCCTGGAGTGTCCTAGCCAGTCTCCAGACCTTAATCCCATAGAAAATCTGTGGAGGGAGCTGAAGGTTCGAGTTGCCAAACGTCAGCCTCGAGACTTTAATGACTTGGAGATCTGCAAAGAGGAGTGGGACAAAATCCCTCCTGAGATGTGTGCAAACCTGGTGGCCAACTACAAGAAACGTCTGACCTCTGTGAATGCCAACAAGGGTTTTGCTACCAAGTACTAAGTCATATTTTGCAGAGGGGTCAAATACTTATTTCCCTCATTAAAATGCAAATCAATTTATAACATTTTTGACATGCGTTTTCTGGATTTTTGTTGTTATTCTGTCTCTCACTGTTCAAATAAACCTACTATTAAAATTATAGACTGATAATTTCTTTGTCAGTGGACAAACGTACAAAATCAGCAGGGGATCAAATATTTTTTTCCCTCATTGTACATCTGCAGGAGATTATACAACTTTTAAAGTCAATCCCCGTGTTTAGTGTGAATGCTGTACAACATGTTTGGAATCGACGGGGGCAAAGTTGCACTTACGAACAAATCGACCTAGGAACAGACCTCTGGAATCCATAATAGAGGTTTTAGGGTTAGATCGAGTAAATATAAATGTGACGTTAAACCCGTCGCCACCCGGCACAGCCAATTAGTAAGGTTTGTCGCGTAAACAGAACATGCCAATTCGTTACTAGTTTAGTACACCGATGTGTTGGAGAGTAAAACCCACAACATTTACAATTCGAGTACGATGTTTTGCCAGTAATTACAACTAGCATCATCAGGCAGACAGCCAGAGTTGTAATTAGGAGTCTGTATATGCAAGTCTGTGGGTCTCTATGTGAGTCTGAGGGTTGCTATGTAAGTCTGTTGGTCTTGGCAAGTCTACGGGTCTCTATGAAAGTCTGTTGGTGTCTATGTTATTCTGTGGGTCTCTGTGCTAGCCTGTAATTCTCTGCGGGTCTGTGGGTCTATATGCAAGTGTCACGGTCTCAATGCGGGTCTGTGGGTCTCTCCGAGTCTGTTGGTCTCTTTGCGAGTTTGCGGTCATCAGGGCTGAGGCGATAAACTCGCGAACCCGCTTTAACCACATGCGTGCGGCTGAAACCCAGAATGGAAGCCAGGATCTCAGCGGTGCCGGCTCAACAGCGTCTCTGATCTCTGAGCTACCGCCTGGCCACTTCTGCTCTTGCTGGCGGCAGCGGGAGTGGTGGTTGCTTTCACTGCTGTGTACAACAAGCGGGGTAATGTGGCTGTGGGGCGATGAGGGTTGGAACGAGGACAGACCCGGAGGGGACGGCGGGGGGGGGGTGTAAGTGGACCAGGAGTGGGACGAGAGGCTACGCCGTCTCCTGATTGGCCGCCGCGACCACAACAACACTGGGACCGAGTGCGTTGATTCCGTGCCCTCTTCCCGGGATGAATCCGAGAGGAGGAAATTGCTGCAATTGTCACGATCCTGCCGAAGCAAATCCCTGTTATAATTAACGGTATATCATGTACAAAAAAATATATTCGATGCCCTTTTGCCCAGGACACGATCCAGTTTCATTGTTATGAACGACCAAGCAGAATTAATTTCCCCCCCATGACTTGCTGGCCGGTGACCTGCCAGCCGGCCCTCTGTATCTGTGCGTCACGTGACCTGTAACCCAGCACTGTGGGGGCAGTGCGGGTTCGTGCACCACACGCACGCACTCGTGAAACTCCCTTCTCCTTACCGCCCCGTGAGCGTTGATGTCGCCACCCCCTGACTGGCCAGGGTACGATGGCAGTACAGCAAGCGGGTTGATACCCTCGCGATTGAAAGGCTGCACACCTTTATCGTTTTACTACTCTACACTCACTCGGCCAATCATTCACCTACTCACTCATCCACCCACCCACCTACTCACCCTCCCGCTCACGCAACCACCAACTCACTCGGCGGCGGCGGCGGTGGGGGGGGGGGAAGAGTCGTCCCCTCTCCTCGACAGGCGATGACACTGTGCGGTGCCTGGCAGCAGCGTGGTGTTTGTTTCACAAAAGCCGACACGACCACAGCATTGTAACCCCACGCTAGGCGCGTGCTGTGTGTGACCCCCAGCAGCAGTGCCACGGTGGCCAGATGTCAGCCACCTCGCCTGGTATACAGGAGGTCATAGCTTGTTGTATATTTGGAGTTTGCATGTCTCTCTGTCTCCCCGTGGTCGTGTGGATTTTTCCCCGGGTCCTTCCGGTTTTTCCCTCCAAGGTTTAGGATCAACGCCACACGTTCGGGGTATTTGGCCGCTACTATGAATGTCCACGCGATGACAAGCCACTTTCGTTGACCTATCATTTGTGACCGCCAGGTCCGTGCTCGCCAGGTCTTACAAATAGCGACATAAAGCGGGCTCAGTGGGGGACACCTTACCTGGTAAAATACCCCCCCCCCAAAAAAAAAAATGTTTTTAGTTAGTATAGTCCATAATAGAGGTTTTTTTGGGTTAGATCGTGTAAATATATGTGTCGTTAAAACCCGTCACCACCCGATACAGCCAACTAGTGAGGGTTGTCACGTAAACAGAACGTGGCCAATTCTTCACTAGTACAGCACACCGGTGTGTTGGAGAGCCAAGCCACAACATTTACAATCCGAGTACGACGTTTCGCCGGTAATTACAACCAGCTTCATCAGGCGACAGCCAGATTTGTGGAGAAGTCCACATTACGCATGCGCATTTATGCAAGCCCTTTGCTGTTGCCCTTCCTGTCCACGGCGCGTTCTGTTTACGTGACGACCCTTACTAGCTGGCTGTGTCGGGTGTTGGCGGGGTTTTAACGACACAACATTTATATACTTATACGATCTAACCCCCCCCAAAAAAAAACCCTCTATCACGGACGACACCGGTTCGCGAAAGCCTACCGCGCGTCAGCACAGTTTAATCACTTTGTACCGAGCTGGCGCTGCTTGCGCTGGTAGTGGCGCAGCAGCTCGTGAAGCTGCTGGTACTTGCTGCTCAGCACGGCCCTCGACAGCGCCAGCTGGGGCTCCAGGCCCATGTTGAGCTCCGCGAGGCTCCGCGTGCTCGCCACGGCCGTGCACCGCTCCAGCTCCACGCACTGCACCTGCCAAGCACCGACACGGCCCCCCCGAAACAACAACGTGGGGGGGGGGTGGTGGGGTCAGGGTCGGGGGTGGGGTCAGGGGTGCGGCGGCGGCGGGGGGGGGGGGGATTTGGAGAGGGGGGGGGGGGAAGGGTATAAAGGCGCAGCCCTGCAAGTGCTTAACTCGAGTTGCTCATCCACCAGCGGGATTATCTCTCTGTTTACAAATACTCCCCCCCCCCCCGCCCGTATAGCCTTAACAGGCTTTTGGGTTTATAGCCTTTAAGTGCTGTTAGCGAGTAGCACAGCACGAGATGGGTGGTGTGGCTAGTACCACGCCCGGCCGCCTTTGTCTCCCGAGTGGCAATGTTTGTGCACACAAACATCCACACACAAACCCATACACACAAGACAAAGATCCCCCGTATAGCCTTAACAGACTGCTGGGGCAAGTGCTGCTAGTGAGCACATATGAAGGCCGGCAGGGCACAACGAGGGGGTGGGTGGGCCAGCACCACGCCCGGCCGCCTTTGTCTCCCCAAGTGACGATGTTCACACGTCGCTGAGTCGACCTAGGGGAGGCCCACGACCGCTTCAAGCCACTCGCCACGACGGGCGTTGGCGGTGTTCGTGAGCGGGAATCGAGCTCGGGAGTCGCCGGGTTTCGTAGCGCTAACCGCTGCACCACCGCTCCCCAACGTATGGCATTGACCACCACAGTTGCAAGGCCTCCAGTTGTAGTTTAGATGAATGAAAAATCACACACGCGGCACGTTTAGGCGATTGTTACGAAACGTCGCGCAAGACACAAAAAAGCATACGGGCGAGGCGAACGTCAGCGAGAAGAGAAATTGACGCGCCAGAGCATCGAATCGCCACACCTCGGCTGTGTCGGGTGGTGGAGGGTTTAACGACACATGTATTTATTTATTTACGCGACCTAACACGCTCCCTTCCACCCCCCCCCCCAAAAAAAAACCTCTGTATTATGGATGATTTTGACTTAAAACTTTCGTGACTGCAGGAATTCATATTCTATGGTTCTTTCGGTAAAATCACGTAGATAAAATAAAAATATATTATGGATATTGGTCGCGAAAGTCTGTTAGTTGTTAAACTGAATAGCAGTTTACATTCGGATTTAAGCAGCCCCCCCCCCGATTCTATACCCCCCCCGATTCTATACCCCCCTCATTGCCCCCCCCTCATTGCTCCCCCCCCCTCATTGCCCCCCCTCATTGCCCCCCCTCATTGCCCCCCCCTCATTGCCCCCCCTCATTGCCCCCCTCATTGCCCCCCCTCATTGCCCCCCCCCCCTCATTGCCCCCCCTCATTGCCCCCCCCTCATTGCCCCCCCCCTCATTGCCCCCCCTCATTGCCCCCCCTCATTGCCCCCCCCCTCATTGCCCCCCCCTCATTGCCCCCCACACTAAATTGTAAATTCCGAACTGTTTCGGGTGGGCGGGAAATCCCTACACCTCGCACGCCGTGCGAGTCAATGGCAGCCGCCTACACGGAGAGTGTACGGACTTCTCGCCCACCTCCCCCCGTACGATCGCAGTCTCATAATAGCCCCCCCCCCTCTCTCGTGACCCCACTCTGCCCCCCCCATCCCCAAATATCCCTCTACCCCCCCTCAGTCTACCTCACTTCCCCTATCCCCTCTCCTCCAATCCCCTCTCCCTCGCTACCCTTCCCCCTGTACCCCAATTCCCCCTCTACCCCCACAGTCTACCTCACTTCCCCTATCCCCTCCAATCCCCTTCGTCCCCTATCCCCTCTACCTCGTCACCTCCCCTCGCCACCCTCTATCCCTTCTCCAGCCCCCCCCCCCCGCGCCACCAGCCCCCCCCCCCGCGCCACCAGCCCCCGTGAGCCCCCTGACCTCGTCTCGCTCTCGCACCATCTCCGCGAGTTTCTCTTCGTTCTCCAGCAGTCCCCGCAGCTGCTGCAGGCTCAGGAACTCCAGCTTCTGGAACGTCACCTCCGAGGGACTCCCGGGTGTCAGGGGACCCGCGGGGACCCCCGTGCCCTGTGGCGCGCCCCACTGCGCGTTCATCTTTCATCCGACGAGCGGAGGGGGTGCGGAGGGGGTGGGGAGGGGGTGGGGGGCGCTGGGTTCCGGTCAATCCGCTTCGACGGAAAATCCGCTTCCGGCGCGCGCGTCGGCCGCTTGTATCGTCGACTAATTTGATAATTTAGTTAATATTTTGTTTACCACGCTGTAGGGGGGGGGGGTGTTTCACCCCCGTTGCGATGTTCGGTGTGGTAGTGCCCCCTAGTGGCTGCGAGAACGACGAGGTGGTGATGATGATGGAGGCGGTGGTGATGATGGTGGTGATGATGACGGTGGTGATGATGATGACGGTGGTGATGGTGATGACGGTGGTGGTGATGGTGGTGATGATGACGGTGGTGATGATGATGACGGTGGTGGTGATGGTGGTGATGATGACGGTGGTGATGGTGATGACGGTGGTGGTGATGGTGGTGATGATGACGGTGGTGATGATGATGACGGTGGTGATGATGGTGGTGATGATGACGGTGGTGATGATGATGACGGTGGTGATGGTGATGACAGAGACCCACAGGCTCACACACAGTGAGCCATAGACTCACAGAGAGCCATAGACTCACACAGAGACCCACAGACTCACACAGAGATCCCACAGACTCACATAGAGACCCACAGACTCACACAGAGACCCACAGACTCACACAGAGACCCACAGGCCCACACGCAGAGACCCACAGACTCACATAGAGACCCACAGACTCACACAGAGACCCACATACTCACATAGAGACCCACAGACTCACACAGAGACCCACAGACTCACACAGAGACCCACAGGCCCACACGCAGAGACCCACAGACTCACATAGAGACCCACAGACTCACACAGAGACCCACAGGTCCACACGCAGTGAGCCATTGACTCACAGAGAGACAGACTCACACAGAGACCCACAGGCCCACACACAATGAGCTATTGACTCACAGAGAGCCACAGACTCGCACAGAGACTCACAGGCCCACACAGTGAGTCATTGACTCACAGAGACCCACAGACTCACACAGAGACCCACAGACTCACGCGCAGGGAGCCATAGACTCACAGAGAGACACAGACTTACACAGAGACCCACAGGTCCACAGTGAGCCAAAGACTCACACAGAGACCCACAGGCTCACACACAGTGAGCCAAAAACTCACACGGAGACCCACAGGCTCACACACAGTGAGCCATAAACTCACAGAGAGCCAAAGACTCACACAGAGACACACAGACTCACACAGAGACCCACAGACTCACACAATGAGCCAAAGACTCACAAAGAGCTACAGACTCACACAGAGACCAACAGGCCCACACGCAGAGACCCACAGACTCACATAGAGACCCACAGACTCACACAGAGACCCACAGACTCACACAGAGACCCACAGGTCCACACGCAGTGAGCCATTGACTCACAGAGAGACAGACTCACACAGAGACCCACAGGCCTACACATAATAAGCTATTGACTCACAGAGAGCCACAGACTCGCACAGAGACCCACAGGCCCACACACAGTGAGCCATTGACTCACAGAGTGACACAGACTCACACAGAGATCCACAGACTCACGCGCAGTGAGCCATAGACTCACAGAGAGACAGACTTACACAGATACCCACAGGCCCACAGTGAGCCAAAGACTCACACAGAGACCCACAGGCTCACACACAGTGAGCCAAAGACTCACACATAGTGAGCCAAAGACTCACACAGAGACGCACAGACTCACACAGAGACCCACAGGCCCATACGCAGTGAGCCATTAACTCACAGAGAGACACAAACTCACACAGTGAGCCAAAGACTCACACAGAGATCTACAGGCTCACACAGACCCACAGACTCACACAGAGACCCACAGACTCACACAGAGACCCACAGGCTCACACACAGTGAGCCAAAGACCCACACAGAGATCCACAGGCTCACACAGACCCACAGACTCACACAGAGACCCACAGACTCACACAGAGACCCACAGGCTCACACACAGTGAGCCAAAGACTCACAGAGAGCCACAGACTCACACAGAGAGCCACAGACTCACACAGAGACCCACAGGCCCATACGCAGTGAGCCATTAACTCACAGAGAGACACAAACTCACACAGTGAGCCAAAGACTCACACAGAGATGCACAGGCTCACACAGACCCACAGACTCACACAGAGACCCACAGACTCACACAGAGACCCACAGGCTCACACACAGTGAGCCAAAGACCCACACAGAGATCCACAGGCTCACACAGACCCACAGACTCACACAGAGACCCACAGACTCACACAGAGACCCACAGGCTCACACACAGTGAGCCAAAGACTCACAGAGAGCCACAGACTCACACAGAGAGCCACAGACTCACACAGAGACCCACAGGCTCGCACAGAGACCCACAGACTCACACAGAGACCAACAGGCCCACACGCAGAGACCCACAGACTCACAGATAGACCCACAAGCTCACACACAGTGAGCCAAAGACTCACAGAGAGCCACAGACTCACACAGAGACCCACAAGCTCACACACAGTGAGCCAAAGACTCACAGAGAGCCACAGAATCGCAGGGAGCCATCGCTCTGCTCCGACAGTTCTCCGCCACCATCTGCCCCGAGGTCTTCTCTTCCCCTTGGCCACCAGACTCGAGGAGACCGCTCCGGTGGCCGGGCCCCTCACCCCGCCGTGCACACACAGGGGAGGTGGGGAGTCCCATCCGGGGGGGTCCCATCCGGGGGGGGGGTCCATTCCCGGTTTGGGGGGGTCCCATCCAGAGTTGGGGGTCCCATCCGGAGTTGGGGGGGTCCCACCCAGTGCAGCCGTCTCTTGCCGAGTCGTATGGCCCTCAGCGGCACTCACCTTGCCCCGTGTTCTCCTCCGCACCTGTGCACGGCTTCTCCCGTCTCGCCCACGGGATTCCCAAGATCCGTAAGTCTGGACTTGTGGCCTCAGACGTCACCAACGTCTTCGTGTCGAGCTTGGGACCCAGCTCTCTCTCTCGCCGAGCCATCCACGCGGTCAACGGGAGCAGCTTCAATAACCTTGTTCTTGATGCTCATGGCAAGAATCAAATATCGAGTATTCGATAGAATCTATGATCTCGAATCTTATCGTTCGTGGGTTTTGTTCAATGTAACGGTTAATCGATTGACATATCGACTAAAACTCATAGTATCCCAAAATCGATTCGATTGTGTAAGAATCGACGCGTGTTTTTTTTTTACGGCATGTAAACATTAGCACTGGGGAGACAAAGACGGCTGGGCTTGGTGGTTGGAGGTGGCATTTGGGGGGATACTTGTATTTGCATGTGTGCGTGTACATAGGGGCTGAGTGCGAGCGCATACGTGACTGTGTACGTGCGCATACGCGACTGTGAGTGACGACTGCATGAATGAAAGCGACATACACACACACACCAATACACACATACGCCGATAGAAACACACACAAAGACAAAGGTCCTCTATAGCCTCGAGCAGACTATTGGGGTAAGTGCTGTTAGCGAGAACGCACGGAGATGTGGTGTGGCCAGGACCACGCCCGAATGTACAAAGACAAAGAACCCCCGTATAGCCTTAACAGACTGCTGGGGCAAGTGCTGTTAGCGAGCATCCTATCAAGGCCGAAACGGCACACGAGGTGGGTGGTGTGGCCTGTACCACGCCCGGCCGCCTTTGTCTCCCGAGTGGCAATGTGTGTACACACCAACATTCACATACAAACCCATACGCACAATAATAAAAATCCCGCGTATAGCCTTAACAGACTGTTGGGGCAAGTGCTGTTAGCGAGCACCTATGAAGACCGGCACGAGGGGGTGGGTGGCCAGAACCACGCCCGGCCGCCTTTGTCTCCCGAGTGGCGATGTTTACACACCGCACAAGGTACTCATTTGAGGCTGAGTCGACCTAGGGGAGGCCCACTAGCGGTTGAGAAAATCGCAATTGGTGTTGGTGGCTTGGAGCGGGAATCGAACGAACTCAGGTCGCTGGGGTTCGTAGCGCAGCGCGCGAACCACTACACTACCGCTGCCCCACAACCATTCACACACCCACACCCACCCACACACATGGACGCCCACACACACGGACGCCCATTCACTCCCCACGCAAACAGCCACGTACACACACACACATACACACATCTACACACACGCATTTTGATATCGGTGTCGTTTTCCTAAAATTCTGGGGGAGCCAGCCCGACGCCCCGCCACTCGCCCACCCCCTCCCTCTCCTCCCCCACACCCCGCCCCTCGCCTCCCCCCGCAGCCCCGCCCCCCACAGTCTCCTCCGCACTGCGATCCTGCAGCCAATAGCGCGCGCGTTGCCATGGCCACGGACCACGGTCACCATGGTGACGCGAGCGCATCTTGGCTGCATTGCGGCGAGGGGCGGGGTCACGGGCGGGGTCAGGGGTGGCTCAGCGCTGGAGCCAGCAGCTCGCAGCAGCAATCGGAATGGTTGCGAGTTCACATCCTGGTCGGGGTGATGGGAGGAGGAGGAAGGGGGGGGGGGACTCAGCCCATCGTCTCTCCGGTGTCGCTAAAATCAGTACCACTTTGTCGTGAAGTCAACAGCGGTTGTGCTGTGAATAAACTCGTCCCTGTCGTAGGAATGTGGAATTTACGCCAACACCCGCTTAGGGCTGCCCAGTGCTCATATGAGCAGGACATTGCTGTGAACTTTTTGGAGGTGTTAAAGACCGGGGTAGGGGCTAGTTTTAGAGCAGGGCTGGGGCCCTGAGTCGGACTAATGGTGGCTACAGGTCTAGGGGTAGAGTTAGGGGTAGCAGTCGTGTTAGGGGTTGGATAGTGTTAGGATCAGGTGTAAGGTTAAGGGGTAGTATCAGAGGTTGATGTAGTGATAGGTTTAGGGCAGGGGATCGGCAAACGAAATAACAAGAAGAGACATTTTTTTCTCGAATTCCGTAAAAAAAAAAACCCCTCAATATTTCATGAGCCGCAATGCGCCGTGGTGATGGCGGTGGTGAATGCGAGACGGTGGTTGTCCTTAATAAATAACGTCACGAAGCATGCGGTTTAGGCGCCGCAGGTGTGCCGACTCCTGGGCTTAGGAGCAGGGTTAGGTGTAATTATAGGGTTAACATAATGGTAGCGTTTGGACTAACGGGTTCTGGAGGTGGTGTTAACGGTCAGGGGCAGGCCTAGGGCTGAGTTATACCTGTCCATGCGTTGACTTTTGTTCAACACCGATCCGAACGGGACCCTGCTGACGTTGCGTGACGGTCAACGCTCTGGACTTGCAATCCAGAGGTCGCCGGGTCATTTCTTCCGGCGCGGCAGTTCAAGCCCACGGCCAACTTTCAAGTCCCCACGCCCTCTGTCCATTTATTAGCGGAATTCCGGCACAATTTGGGGTACACCGCAGTTAGTCGCCGGTGGGGTAAAGTGTAGGTGCTCCCATCATTCCCAAGACGTCTGGTGGCCGGCGTAGAGGAGTAGGCCAAAATACACACTGTAGGGGGGGGGGGGGCTCCCTCTAGTGGAGGACTCTTCCGCCAGCAGTGGCGTGAAATGAGAACTTGCAGGGCTGCGCCATTGCACTGATCGCATCACTCCGTCTTCACAATATATTTGTTCTCCCCATTTTTTTCTTTTCCCTGGCCATCAAATTAACACCAACAAAAACCACCACCACCACGACAACCACGACAACCACGACAACCACGACAACCACGACAACCAAAGGCAATACAAAGACAAAGATCCCCCATCTAGCCTTAAGCCCTTAACAGATTGCTGGGGTAAGTGCGGATAGCGAGCACCTATGAAAGCCGGTACGGCACACGAGGGGGTGGGTGGCCAGCATCACGCCCGGCGATGTTTACACATCGTACCAGGTACTAATTTGAGTCTGAGTCGACTTAGTGGAAGCCCAGGACCAGTTTAGATAATCGTCACTGGTGTTGGCCATGAGCGGGAATCGAACCCGGGTCGCCAGGTTAATAGCGCAGCGCGCTAACCGCTACACTAAGACCCACAACACACACACACACACCAACACACACCAACACACACACACACACAAAGACCCTCTCCCAAGTGCCGTTCACAACCACCACGAACCACCACCATCACAGCCACCACCGTCGGACAACCAACCACAACAAGCAGAGGAGCCAGAGCGAGTCGACGGAAATAAATCGTGGCGCACGCCGGTGGAGTGTTCGTTTGTTGTTGTTGTTTTGACCGCTACAATATAATTATGTAACAATAATAATGTTCGAAAAAAAAGAGAGGGACATCAATCAGTGACCGCGCACACAACGAGACGCGCGTCTCAGCCAGCGACCTCCTCCAGTCACAGAGAACAACACCCATCCAGCCGAATGCATAGTTATTATCATCATCAAGAAACACCCAGCAGGGGAGGGGTAGGGGCAAGGGGGGGGGAGGTGGTAGGGGTGGTGGTTGTGGTTGAGGGTGCTGGTGGGTGATGGGTGGGGGGCGGGGATGGCGGGGCTCGGTGTTGGAGGAGGAGGGTCTAGATTGAAGTGGTGTGGGGAGAGTGAGTGGGGGGGGGGGGGGGTGCTTGGTGTGGGGGGGAGGATCGGAATGGAAGTGATGGGGGGAAGGGGGTGGATGTGGAAGTTGGGGGGGGTGTCATAAAAGAAAGTCAAATTTTTTCTTTTATCATCATCATTATCAACACACACGAGAGAATCTGCGTAGCAAACAGCCATAACATTGAAACCATGCGAATCTAATACTGCACCATTACCGTATATCTTCAAAATACGAAAAAAACAAAGAGAGAGGGAACACGCATTGGCCTCGCCCGTGTCGTTAAGAGGGGGAGGAGGAGTGCTTCAGTGATAGAAATTGCGGCCAAGGAGGCTGCTGCCCAGGGCGTGAGTTGTGAGCTTAAATTCTCGCCGAGTAGGAGAATCACCGCGGCGGGTCGCTGCTGGATTGGTCACTGCTGGATTGGTCACTGCTGATTGGTCACCGCGGCGGGCCGCTGATGGATTGGTCACTGCTGGATTGGTCACTGCTGGATTGGTCACTGCTGGATTGGCCGCTGCTGGATTGGTCACTGCTGGATTGGTCACTGCTGGATTGGTCACTGCTGGATTTGCCGCTGCTGGATTGGTCACTGCTGGATTGGTCACTGTTGGATTGGTCACTGCGGTGGGCCGCTGCTGGATTGGTCACTGCTGGATTGGTCACTGCTGGTTTGGTCACCGTGGCGGGCCGCTGCTGGATTGGTCACTGCTGATTGGTCACCGCGGCGGGCCGCTGCTGGATTGGTCACTGCTGGATTGGTCGCTGCTGGATTGGTCACTGCTGATTGGTCACTGCGGCGGGCCGCTGCTGGATTGGTCACTGCTGGATTGGTCACTGCTGGATTGGTCTCTGCCCCCTCTGTCCGTCTCCCTCTCTCTCCCTCTCCGCTGCTGCGCCGTAGATCGGCAGAAGAGTCGCGGGGACGTGCGGGATGGCGCTGACGAAGAAGGGGGGGGGGGGGATAGGGCTAGAGGTTGGGTCGGGGTCATGGGTAGTGCTAGGGTCTGGTTGGCAAGCGTGGTTAGGGGTAGTGCTAGTATGGTAGGGTAGGGGCTAGTGTCTGGTTGGGTAGCGTGATTAGGGTTAGTGCTAGTATGGTAGGGTAAGGGCTAGTGTCTGGTTGGCTATCATGGTTAGGGGTAGTGCTAGTATGGTAGGGTAGGGGCTAGTGTCTGGTTGGCTATCGTGGTTAGGGTTAGTGCTAGTATGGTAGGGTAGGGGCTAGTGTCTAGTTGGCTATCGTGGCTAGGGTTAGGGCTAGTATGGTAGGGGCTAGTGTCTAGTTGGCTATCGTGGCTAAGGGGTAGTGCTAGTTGGGTAGGGTGAGAGGGGGGTGTTTGGTTGGCTACTCTGGTTTGGGTGGGAGTTTGAGGTCGTGGCTAAAGATGCCTAATGTCTGGGCGACTCAACCGGTGCACGTGGCGGTGGTGATCAGGAAGCCCCCCCATCACCGCGCTCTCCCTCTCTACGTTATCCTCGCCTACTTTTACACAGTAGATTCTGCTGCTGCTGATGATGATCCTGCTGCTGCTGCAGATACTGCTGATCCTGCTGCTGCAGATGCTGCTGATACTGCTACTGGTGATGATGATGATGATCCTGCTACTGTTGCTGATGCTGCTACTGCTGCTGTTGCTGAGGACAATGATCCTGATGATAATGCGCCTGCTGCTGTTAATAATCATGATTTTATTACCGCTGCTGCTCCGGCTACAACTGCTCATACGACTGCTGATGATACTGCGATGATTATGCAATGAATGATGACGATGGTGTTGATGACAATTGCTGATTGCTGCTGCCAAAGATGCCGATGCCGCTGGTGATGATGCTTGCTGATGATGATATCCTTGAAGTCTATAGGGTGGACTATTAAATATATTTCGAGTCGGCTATCCACGTGCTACATTGGGTCACTCGCTGACGGGCGCTCAGTCATCTCGCCACGATCGCGAGATGTTAACTACCTCACCTGGTGTGCAGGAGG